GATATCTGTCTTTTGCCTATTTATTTCAACGGATCATTATCTATTCAGATGTGTTTATGAAAAGTTCACGACATTTCATTGTACTAGTTACAAAAGAGCCTAATCAGAGACATCATATTGGATGGCAGTATACATCGAAAAGAATGTACATTATGCAGATGTCGATTCTAGGACTGTTAACTTCTAGTTGGTAACCACTCAATATGTTATCGTCAGGATCAATCAAGAAATAAGAAACAGAAACTCGCTGAAGTACTTTGTGCTGAGAATTCTATATTGTATCAAAAATATAATGTTGAATTAAGCCAATAATAACAATTATCAGTATAAGGTTGTGAAGATTATGAAGCTTTTTTTGATTGAGATCATGAACTGATTGATGTTAGACCATCATTGAAAACCTGAAAGTACTGGACGGCCGTTTCGTAGGACTCCTCAGTGGTAGTGCGAATCCACGATTCCACTCGAGGGATTCGAATCCATGTAGATTTCAGATGACCTTGGGCTTCTGGAAAGTTCCGGAACTTTAATAAACATAGTAACAGGATAGTGGTAATCATCCAATCAGAAATGTGATAGGTGACTTTTCACTTTCTAGATGTTTCTGAAAAACGTCTATTGAGTGCTGTTAATATTAGATGTTTCCAAGTGTTTTCACAGATCCTCTAAGCTTTTTTTGAAGGAATTTTCCAAGACTCTCCAAAAATTTCTAGATTTGTAAACTATTGAGTAGGATTCACAAAATAAATAAATGAATTTATTGGTTGCATTCATCAGTCAATTGAAGCTACACCACCATTGAAAAATCTGGAAGCACTAGACGACCGTTTCGTCCTAGAATAGGACTCCTCAATTTCAGTACGCATCCATGATCCTGCCTCGTGAGATTCGAACCCAGGACTTATTAGTCTCGTGCGTTAACACTTGACCTGTAGTCAATGAGCTGGCCGGCATTCAATGTTGTTAATGTCTATTTTCAACCAATCGACAGAATTTATGTTTTTCTATTCACATTGTATGCGAGGATTGACAAAGCAAGGATCACATTCCTACAATCGAAAAACATATGGAACTCAAAACAACGGTCAACCAATATCAAAGTCACAATCTTCAATACGAATGTCAAGACAGTTCTACTGTACAGAGCAGAAACTTGGAGAACTACAAAAACCATCATCAAGAAGGTGCAAGTATTTATAAATAGTTATCTACACAAGATACTCAATGTCCGTTGATCAGATACCATAAGCAACAGCCTACTGTGGGAGAGAACAAATCAGCTTTCAACTGAAAATGAAATTAGGAAAAACGTTGGAAGTGGATAGGACATACATCGACAAAATCATCAAACTGAATCACGAAGCAAGGCCTAACTTGGAATCCTGAAGAGAAGCCCAAAAAAAAGAGGAAGGCTAATGAACACATTACGTCAGTAAATAGAAGCAGATATGAAAAGTCTGAATAACAACTGGAAACGATTGTCCAGGACAGGACTGGATGGAGAGTGCTGGTTTTGGTCCTACGCTCCTCGACGAGGAGTAACAGGCGTAAGTAAGTAAGTAAGCAAATCCTCACATTGTTATTCTTTCTTTCTTTATTCATTTGAGTTCATTCTATTCTACAAAATATTATCCTGTTACCAATAGTATTATTATGTTACTTTTCAATTAATTTATGCAAATTTAATCAAATTAGGTTAATTGAAATCTAAAATAAAAAGTACATAAAGAAAAAAACTTTTTTTTCTTTTTTTTAATCAAACAACGAACTTGATCGATAATTGGAAACATCAGAATTATCCATAATATATTGATTTTAGATAGATAGATTATCATTGGAAACTAGGAAAAGTTGAATAGTTAGGACACCTCAATAGTGTACACTGATGAATTTTGAGATGGCGCTGAAGATTTGTAACTCAGGTGGATGATTTTGATGAAGTTTTGTTCTCTGTGCTGGATGGTTTAGTCGTGAAGCTTTCATCGTTATTCGTAATGACATCATCAGCTTAAGCAAAGCTCTACGATCAAACCATCCAGCTCAGAGAACAAAACTTCATCAAAAAACACTAATGAATCAACTTTATATGGTCAATTTCAAGAAATTTAGTTTCATTTATCAAAGCTCAGATTCAAGACCATTGAACTGATATCTAACCATTTAAAAAGTATAACTTCAATCAATTCACCATATTCAATGACCATCTTTCATTGCTTATGATGGATATCTTTCTTACACTCAACATGATTAAACTCCATTGGTCACTAATTCTCAATGGAATTCTAAGAGTTGTATCTTATGGTCAGTCACTAGTGAGTACACGATTCATTATAGTTAAACATTAGCACTATCGGATGTTGACTTAGTTGTTTAAAGGTTAGACGTTCGCTCAAGATTAAATGTCCCTGGATTAAACTCTATACGACGGTGTCGAGCTAAGTTATTTGGTGAAGTAAACTATGAAAGTTCTACAATCTCGACAAAACTTTAACGTAATAAAAGATAATAGTTTAATGAATGAAACAGATAATTATTAGTTATTTTTTTTTCTTTACTTTTGCTTACTTTCGCCTGTTACCCCGAATGGAGCATAGGCCGCCAACTAGCAAGAATTATGTTTTTCTGGTTGGCGTTTTTTTAGCGAGTTAGTTTTCTACGAGATGGGGTCACTAACCTCATACCCAACTCTCCTACTTTGTCCGGGCTTGAGACCGGCAGTAGCTCAAGAGAGGCTCCGGGAGGAGTGAGTTATTTCTTTCTAGGTATTATTAATCATCATTAATAGATCAATTGATTTAAACTTTACGTGTACAATTACATGCATGCTTCTCCATGCCTCATTATTTATCCAGCTGTTGGGATGGTTTTCGAGAACTACGATAAAGCCTCCAAAGGCCCTATAGTAGTCGATTAGTTTCCATCCAATCAGAACATGATGGAGCTTTCTAGAATATCAACGTGGCATGCTACTATTAAACAGTAGCAAAACATGCCTCTCTTCGGATTGACTGAAAGCACTTCTTCTGTTTTCTGATTTGCGGCTGTGAGGTTCTATACGTCCGAATGCCGTAGTTGTATACTGTATTCTGCATTAATCAAGTAATGAACATAACACTAATAAAGACTGAGTTGATCTTCCGTTTTTCAATAGTCAATCAATGTGTAATACACAACACTTTAGGTCATTATCCCATCCATTTGATAGATGGGCGCTGTATATCACAGTTTACTATGAAATCTTTACTGAAAATTACACATCAGTATTCAATAAATAAAAGTTTAGTGAAAGGAAAAATGAACAAAAGTTCTATGAATAGCACACTCCTTGGACAACGGAAACGTAACAGATAACTTCAATCAAAAAAATGATTGGAAGCAAAGATAGATATTGGCTACCAGTGGATTCCAGGACAAGCGTTTCATCCTATTTGGGACTCCTCAGTTGGATATACCTGTATCCCAGAGTTGATTTAAACTTCACCACATCACACAATCAAATGGCTATCTGGACTTAGTAGCTAACTGGATAACGTGATAGCATTTGAAGTAAACGTTACTGGGTTCAAGTCCCATAGTGAACATCAACTCTGCGATGCAGGTACATCCAGCTAACGAACCCCATATTGGATGAAACGCGCGTCAGACTGGATTCTACTGCTAGCTACTGTCCGTCTTTGCTTATAATGCTTGTGAATTAAAGTAATATAGAGGCCATACGCACAGTATCTACATATGTTAATAAGAGACTAATCAGTTGCAGTTCTAAATAACAATGGGAAGATACAAGCAAACATTACCAAATGAATCCAAAATAAATGATGTTTTAAAAGTAATATATTTGAATATTCCCATCACTCGCTATTTGTTAAGGGCTTGAAACACAAATAATGTTTCACCTTATCAGGAATTCATCATTTGAATGCATTTGATTCCTAGAGTTTATGCTCATTACAACATCTAAACCCAGTAATTAACCAACAACCGGAGCCTTTGACCTAAAGATCTAATCCACAAGGCAGTGGAGCAACGTCAGGATCTGCAGTCACATGGTAGTCGGTGATCAACGATTGGTTCATACGCCATTTGTTTCTTCAGAATACTGGATCCCATGTGGACTATTGTGTTGAAATGAGTCCTTTCCAACTCCCCTAGTTGGACTCTTTGTGTCCACTAACCTGATTAAATCGCCGAACATGCGCTTCCCTTCCTCTCAACTTCGTAAACAACATCCATAGTGTTAGAAGGTAGTGAGTAGAACTTCCTTGTCAGTATTCGTGTGTACGTGGCCAAGTAAGAGTGTTTGTAGAGGGAGAGCTGACTCCCTCCACTCTCGGCCGTATCAAGGCATTCGGGGGCTATAGTAAAAATAGTAAAAAACTTTCGTTACTGATACAATATATACTACTGAATAATTACAATTTAGAAATCTTTTGCAATATTTTACATTTGGTGTTGAGAATCCTTTTGTTGTTATATTACTCCATGGAGTTATTATTATTGTTACTAATGGTCATGAAGATGTGTAGCTTACAAAGAAGATAATTCTGTACTCTTTGGATTTAAGGAGATTTTTGATAATATTATCATTACCACTTAATATATCTAGGATAATTTAGTGGTTGAGATCATGAGTTAATTGAAGCTAGACCACCATGAAAAACCTAGAAGCACTAAAAGACCGTTTTGTTCTGTTGTGGGAACCCTCCTCCTAGAATCTCTCGAGGTTGGATCGTGGATGCGCACTGCCATTGGGGAGTCCTATACAAAGGTGAAACGGCTGTCCAGTGCTTTCTGGCTTTCCATGGTGGTTTAGCTTCAATAGAATCATGATCTCAACTATTAAAGTTATTATTTATTTATTTATTTATTTGAACACATAAATGTTGGTAAAAAGAGGCAACGAATACAAATGCGCTATACAAGTCACCTGATTTGTGTGTGTGTGGGCTGTGATACTGCCCGGATACCCAGACCGAAGCAGGATGTTTACTAAGTGAAAATTAAAAACCAACATCACCATCATCATCAACATCATTATCATCATCATCTTCAACATCATCATCATCATCATCATCTTCATCAACATCAACATCATCAACATCAACATCATCATCATCATCATCATCATCATCATCATCATCATCATCATCATCATCATCATCATCATCATCATCATCATCATCATCATCATCATCATCATCATCATCATCATCATCATCATCATCATCATCATCATCATCATCATCATCATCATCATCATCATCATCATCATCATCATCATCATCATCATCATCATCATCATCATCATCATCATCATCATCATCATCATCATCATCATCATCATCATCATCATCATCATCATCATCATCATCATCATCATCATCATCATCATCATCATCATCATCATCATCATCATCATCATCATCATCATCATCATCATCATCATCATCATCATCATCATCATCATCATATGTTTTTAAAACTAATCTTTATTACTTATCCCTACCACTACCAACCTACATATCCATCTATCCATCTACCAATCTACTTAAGGTTGTATTCCTTTTTTTCTTTGATTTTAATGACATACATACCAGTTTACGTAACCGATATATCGATTCAACTTATAGTCGATAATGAAACAAACGGATGTGTCATTACATAATCTAATAGATACTGATACTTGTGTTACATATGTAAACTGTTTTTCAATGTCAACTTTCCTTGTTTATTTCATACATACGTATAGATACTGCTTATCATCAGTTACTTACTTACTCCTGTTACCCCCCAATAGAGCGTAGGCCGCCAACCAGCATTTTTCAACCTCAGTCAGTCAGTCAGTCAGCTACAACGTAGGACCAGGCATATATATGGATTAGTCCGAGTTGCTATATAGCATTAGCACGACAAGATGAACACCGGATTTATTGAAGTGGTTAAGTCGAGATTTATTGACAATAATATGAAACCTAAATCGTCTAAAGCACAAATTGTGGTGTATGCTACTGGTGTCGACAGATATAAGTAGTATGTATCATCAATGGAAAGTGAAATGCCGTAATAGAAAAGGTTAAGAAGATCAAAGAAAAGAGAAAAAGGACAGGGAATGATTGCTGTGAAAACGTGGAAACAATTGATGATTGATTGATGTTTTACAGAATGAAGTATTTACTGTGTGATTCTCAGATTTTACTAAGATGTTCTATAATTTTGTGCTGAAATACATTCGATTGTTCTCACTGGTATCGTCGTTCACTAAAAAATAACCTCGGTTGAAAAGAAAACGCTTTACATGAACAAGGATTTCAAGAGTGATAGACCCACAGACGTTCTAAAGAGGAGAATTTCTGACACTCTAAAAAGAACACTCTTCTTAGCAACGTTGCGAATAGTGTTCCCCAGCCGATCAATGTTCATCAATAATCTTAAGAATGGATTATCTTATCTGATCAACTCTATGTGCATTTATCAATTCACCTGCTCATGGAGAGCCAGGTATTTAGAATGTTTGATGCGTACTTTATTCAAAAGAATTCAAGAAAATTACCCGGCTTAGTTAAAAAAAAGAAGGCAAAAACGGCTCAGTTAGAAGCTCAATAATCGAACATATTGTGAACACAGGTCATACAGTCAAGACATACTTTAAGGTTCGAATTCATCTACATGGTGTGTAGAAAGCTGTCAAAGGCAGTTATATTCCATCTTCCCATTATTGCCGAGGCAACTGCTATACATCGAGGAAAACAAGAATTATTTGTCCAAAAGAACCAAGTACAATATTTTCCTCTACCATGGTCTTAATCTTTCATACTTTTTTTTCTTTCACAGCCATCTGATTCCCCTTCTGTCTTCTCTATAGACATTTTACCCCCACATGTCTTACTTCTGATTCTATGATCTTCCTGATTACAGTTCATCTCAATTTTAACATTTTATGTTATCTTGCTGAACCTTCCTTTCCCTATTTATCCTTATGATGAATATTCAGTGTTGGAAAGATTGTTGATTTTATAATTGAGATCATGAACTGATCAATGTTAGACCGTCATTGAAAACCTGTAAGTACTGAACTGCAGTTTCGTCTTGGCACAGAACTCCTCAATAGTGCGCATCCACGATTCTGCACGCTGAACTCCAATCCAGGACCCTCACTCTCGCATGAGAACGCTTAACCTTTAGACCACCAAACCAGCATCCAACGGTATTAATGTCCAACTTGAATTAATCCGTCATCCATTGTCTTCAGTGTGTAACTGCTTCACAACAGTTTCCCTGATAAAAATAACGATGTTAGGCCTTTTCTATTCTATCTCACTGTTACCATGTTTAACAGAATTTCATTAACACTATATAATATAAATAAAATAAGAAAGCCAGTGCATTCAAAGATTGTTTGGATCTGGGGTTTTTTTTGTGTCAACCCATTCGTACTTCACTCACAATTGTATTCAAATGTAAAATTGAGTCCACTAACTTAAATGTCTACATAAAGTTATCCGTTTTGAAACCATAGAAACTTATCCAATCGATGAACAATTAACCAAGTTTGATACTTTCTCATTCCTCTGTTCTGTAAAAAAACCATTAGTACAAGGTGTAGTTTTATTTCATTGATTAGTCTAAGTTGAACAAACAAACAAACCAAAAGGAGAAAGTTCTGAAAAGATGTTTCACGTTGATTTGAGACTCCTCAACAATATAAAAAACACTGCTCAGTCAGTAATCGAATTCAGGAACTTCAAGCGTCGTACAAATCTTACTGAAGAGTGCCGACTGTCACAAAACCTAGATGCTCCGAGGTTTTCTTTCAATGGCTTTTAACCATCTGTTATCGAAAGACAATTATCAAACGTAATAGTTTCGGATAAATTACCTAACTGAGGTTTGTCTAATCTTCATCTCCCCCTGGTTAGACAAACTTTTGTTTGTTAACAAGGGTTGTTTTCATTTTCCGATCAAGTCACAACAACCCCATGAGTGTCTATATTCGATTCGAAGAAACAATCTATAAGTAGCCCTGGTTAACCTTAGTTCTATAGTAGTTACCAATTTTCAGGAATTTGTATCAATACTCTTAAGAGAAACATGGTTAACCAACGGTATTCTAACACATATCACCAAAACATATTTCCCGATACACCATAATAACAAGTACCGGCTAGCATGAAGCCTCGTAAAAGCAAGGGTTGAATTTACTACCTAAAACCACCTAAACGAGTAAAACTTCAGCTTGATTGCATACATGTGTTATTTGTCCATGACATTCTTTCATTCTTCTCGTTATCATTACTAGTATGACTATGTATTATGTCCTATGGAATAACTGTGATTTACTGCCTGTTCAACGGAATAAAACTGATATTATATGATGTGAGAAAGAAGCCAAGGCTATAGATGAAGAATTTATTACTCACCAACTATCGATTCAAAAACTGTCCCAAAATTATATTGAATTATATCTGATCTACTTATCCGATCAATAGGCAGATTTGAATATATATATATGTTCATGAGTTGATCTAAGCTAGACGAGCTCGATGGCCGTTTCGTCCTAGTACAGGATTCCCCATATTCAGGGTCCCGCACCAAAGGGACTCGAATTCAGGATATTCGATCTGAAGCATGAATGCTTAACCTCTAGATGACTGAGCTGACATCTGACGGTGTTAGTGTCAAACTCCAACCGATCTATGATCTTACACAACCCTTCATCCATTGCCTGAAGTGAATTACTGTCTCCACCCAGCACGGATTGACCTCCAACGACCAAGCCTTCTTACTAGAACTCTAGGAAATCGATCCTGAAGTTAGTCACTAGTGTGCACTTGATTATCATCAGATCATGAATCGATTGAAAGTAGACAACAACACAGTTGGATGCCAGTTCAATCGTCTAGATGTTAACCGCTCGTGTACAAGACCGAAGGTCCTATGTTGAAGTCCTCAGTGTCAAATAGTAGGTACGCACTACTGAGTAGTGCCATACTAGAATGAAACGACTGTCCAGTACACCTAGATTTTCAGTAGTAGTCCAGTTCAGATCAACTCATGAAATCAGCTATTAAAATTACTACAATCTCCATAAATCTCCCATTCTGATATATATATGTATCTCAATAGTTAGTTGAGATCATTAGTCAGTTGAAGCTAGACAACCATGGAAAACCTGGAAGCAACCGACGACTGTTCTATCCTGTTGTGGGACTCCTCAGTGGTAGTAGACATCCACGACTCCACCTCACGAGATTTGAACCCAGGATCTATCAGTCTCGCGCACGCGAGCGCTCAGCCACTAGAGCACTGAGTCGGCACTCAACAATATTAATACCTAACTTCAACGAATCAACGAAATTGAACAATACATCCATCATTGTCATCAATGAGTTACTATCTCACAATAGACTCGGTTGAACTTCCCTAATTGAACTAGGCATTAAGTTATATGAATTAATCAATAATTTATTGCATTTACCCAATTAACTTTTTATGCTTCTTCTTCTTGACAATAATCTACAAACGTTTGCTATGGACTCGCATTTTGTTAACTAGTTTTTTTGTATTTTTGTATATAAATGAATAAACACAATCAAAATGATGAAATTGATCGGTATGTTTGTTTGTTTGCTTGTTTGTTTGTTTATTCTTTTTTCTTCTGTTTCTTTTTCTTCTTTTCTTCTTATTTTTTTGTTGTTTTTCTCTCTTATCGACAGCTGTTTCTAAATTGTATGTTGTTTTTTTATTTTTCATATTAGAAATAATGAATTGCATAAAGATGGTATTGGAACAATGAAGTACATTCCAAGATCCTCTGTTGATGATAGTCGTAACAACTTCTTGTTGTTATGATTTATGGTTTGTCTTTTTTTCTTCTCAATTTGTTCTTGTTAATCGATATTATCAATATAAGGGGTTGTGGAGATCACTGAGTTCGAATCTTGCAAGGCAGAATTGTGGTTACGTACTGCTACTGAGGAGTCCCATAATAGGACGAAACGGCCATCCAATTCTTCTAGGTTTTCAATGGTTGTCTATTATCAATCAAAAAACTGAATAATCTCCACAAGCCTGTACTGATAATTACCATGTGCTCAATAGTGATTAGCCTTGTGAGGGAATTCTCGAAGTTCTAGTGAAAAGCCTTGACCAGTGGAACTAATCCGTGTCGAGTAAAGACAGGTATCTACCTCAGTACAATGGAAGATGGTCGCGCAGTTTCGCTGATTAGTTGAGGTTGGACATTAACACTGTTAAATGCGGACTCAGTGGTTTAGAGGTTAAGCACTGGGTTCGAATCCCCTGAGCGGGATCGTGGATGCGCACTGCTGAGGAGTCCCATAATAGGACGAAACGACCGTCCAGTGCTTACAGGTTTTCCATGGTGGTCTAGCCTCAATTGACTCGTGAATTCAACTATTAAAATTACTACGATATCTACAAAACCTCTCTTTGATTTCATTTTTTATTGATGATACATACTACTTATATCTGTCGATATCAGTAGCACATACCACACTACTACCAACATTGTTTATG